GCACATAGTTGGCCTCGCAAAACTTCATATTCACCTCTGTTCATATGCTTATTAACTTATCGACTCTTTTGATCGTTACTGTCTTCACCAAAGTCATCCTCGTCGTCGTCGTCTTCATCGTCGTCGTCGTCGTCATTAGAGACGTGAGCCGCCCATCGCGTCGCACACTAATTATCCGATCAAGTCAAGGCGAAAATCCGGCGCTCGTGTCGGACGGGGCGCACGGATCCGGAAAACGCGCCCAGACATTGCCCAAATCAGCTGATGTACGTGAGATCGTCGTCGCGTGAGCCGTCGTGGCGGAAACTGGTTATGGTCGTCTGCCTCGCTAACTGATTTGATCACTCGCAGCTTCACTTGAGATCCCTTGAACTCAAAAGCGTGAATTGCAGTTGCAAGGAAATATCAAGAAAAAAAAAAAGAAATCAAAAGGTGATGCAGACAGAAAGAGAGAAAAAATAGAGAAGGGGTCTAGCAATGCACCAAGCAAATGGCGACCCTGCCGAGGCCGACTCACCCTTCGAGAGACAAATCGTCGAAGATCTGCAGAAGCTCCTCAATATCCATCCTCCCCAGGCACTAATTGGGGCACTGGCACTCGGGCGTTCGTAGATGACCTTCCTTCGCTCGTTGACAGTAAGCGTAAGTGAACATAACGATGACGGAGATGGTGTCCCTTCGCCCGCTTCCCTCCGGATGCCGGGGTCATTTAGGCTCATCCATCAGTGAGCTTTATAGAGCCGCTTCATGGTGCCGCCGTGGGCCCACCGGTGCCACCTCTCTGTGCCAGATCTCCTGCTGGCACTACCTGACTGCCGCCTCGCTCGCTCGCTAGTTGCTGGTAATCATGGCCGTGTTTGACGTAATAAAATGTATTTCTCTCGCGGCGCCACTTGCTGATATATCAATCCCCAATTCTTTTTCTCGTTAGATAAAACTCCAGTCATAAATCCACATACTGTACATGCACATCTTTCTCTCTCTGTGGCTCTAGCAACACAATGCTCCGTAATTTCCCAATTTGCCCCCCGTTCCCTAATGGGGTTATCTATTATCTCGCGTCACAAAGACAGGATGGGCGTCTTGTATTGACAATGTCCATTTCACAACAACGATTTACCGCCTCCGTCATCGACATGCAACGTACCGATTGTCATCCGTAGGCATAAAACCCGAACCACACGAAGTCAATTAAGCCATAAACACCACGTCAGAGCCAGAGCAAGAATCCAGGCGGCCAGATGGCTATTTGCTTCCATGCGGCGCCGCGCAGAGGGGGGCAGGCGGTGGGCCAAAGAGAAGGCACGACAGACGACCACGCGGGTTGAGGCAACAATGCGGTAAACAGAAAATCTGGACCTCAGGGTATCTGTAAGGATTCCGCGGAAGGTCGAAACTGTTGCTTGGTTTCATCCCGTTTTCTCTCGAGTAAAGATTGGATTTCTTTCCTCGTTTTCTTTGCGTGTCATCAGCCGTCTTTGCTCCGGTGTCTGTTAGGTCATTTCGGTAAGCGTTGAACCTGCTCGCGTAGAACTCTGTACGTGCGTGCGTGCACAGCTACAGAGATATGGATATACTGATAGATAGACTGGTAGAGATAAATATACTACTAACAGACTGATGGGCAGCCAAGTAAATGGAATGACAGCCAGACAGAGTTACGGCCAGACAGACAGAAATGAGTCTGATAGATACATACATATAGAAGTATATACATACATATATAGCATATATATATATATATATATATATATATATATATATATATATATATATATATATATTTATATATATATGTACACACACACACGTGTGTGTGTGTATACATATACATAGAGAGAGAGAGTGAGAGAGAGTGAGGAGGAGGGGGGGAGGTGAGGAGGAAAGGAAGAAATGACGAGAGGATATGAAGTGAAGAGCGGATGAGAGAGAGATAGAAGAAGGAGCCACAGAAAGAACAAAAGCAGACAAAAAAAAGAGAGAGAACCTAATTAGATTCTGCAACTCCGAACGTGCAAAGCCACATTCTCCCTCCCATGAGGCGACAAAATCACGTGGAGACACAATAGTCACGCAAGCAGCTCCACCCAGGCACCCAGCCACAAAGTGAACAATGCCTTTCGGTCAATTCTCTGCCTTTCGTACATGCGTGACTCTGCCGCCCTACCGCTCCGGCTGAACGATTGGCTCGGTCTTTTTCAATACTTATCGTACGCCGGTGTGTTCGAATGCGTCCGTGGTTGCCATTTTTTTCGCGCAGCTGCAACTCCGAATATAGAATTTTAGGGAAGTGTTTGTGTCGGGGTGTTTGTGTAAGCCATTGTATATATATTTTTGTGAAGAAATACATTCAAAGAGCGGATATTTTCTTTCTTTCTCTCTCTCTCTCTCTCTCTCGCACACCAACACCACACCCACACACACACACACACATACACACACACACACACACACAACACACACACACACACACACACACACACACAACACACACACACACACACACACACACACAACACACACACACACACACACACACACACAACACACACACACACCACACACAGCTCGGGAGGTGAAAAAGTTACAGGCAGTATAAATACTGACTAAATCCATCATATATATTTCCATACATATTAATTTACTCTAAAAGCCCCAAACATTTTTCACATGTAGTCATACCGAATAGTGTCATACATTTAATCATGGACATTTACGATGGAACACGTTAAAGCCATAAACGAAAAGAGACATAGATATATAGATAAAGAGGTGAGAAGAGAGAGAGAGAGAGAGAGAGAGAGAGAGAGAGAGAGAGAGAGAGAGAGAGAGAGAGAGAGAGAGAGATAGAAGAGAGAGAGAGAGAGAGAGAAGAGAAGAGAGAGAGAGAGAGAGAGAGAGAGAGAGAGAGAGAGAGAGAGAGAGAGAGAGGAGAGAGAGAGAGAGAGAGAGAGAGAGAGAGAGAGAGAGAGAGAGAGAGAGAAAGAGAGATCTCATGATTGACATTCACAACTATCATCGTGCATCACCAAATTCGAAAACAGTTAATTTTTTCAACAACCGGACACCATCCCAAAAACAGAGCTGGAACATTAACATCTAAATAACAAACATGTACAATTAATACGCACATACAAATAGAAATATGCATTGCATACAATATACATACATAGATATTATATATATATATATATTATATATATATATATATATAACATATCAGTATAACATAGATACAATACGCGCAACAAATGACCACAACCATAAACAGCATCACACACATACACACACACAACACACATACAATATACATTATACATATATAACATATATATATGCAATATATATATATATATATATATATATATAATATATATACATATATCATATATATAATATATATATATATATATATATATATATATATATATATATATATATATATATATATATACATACATATATATATATATATATATATATATATAATTAATATATATATATATATGTATATATTATATATATATAATCACCTCATTCTGCTACACACACACACACACACACACACACACACACACCGATATACATAAATATATATACACATACATATTGTATAAGCATATAATAATTTCACTTAATCTCACGTAAAATGCATAGCCGTAAGTCATTCAATCCCCGTGATTTCACCTAATTCTGCTGTCACGGTACCTTGCACAGCAATGAATCGATGATGTCCGCCTTTGGGGGGGGGGTAACTGTTTACCAAGCAAAAAAGCGCGGGTTAAACTCGGCCCGACACGTCACTGACTCATGGGGTCAGATGGCAGAGCGGGCGAGGGTGGGCGTGCGCTTCCGTAGAGTCGTGAACCCCCCTAATCCGTCCAATCCCTCATGCCATACCAATCCACTACCACCAGCCTATCCCCATCCTCGCCCCCCCTATTCTCTGCATTCCACGCCGCCCCCACTCTTCCCCGTCGCCCCTCCCTCACTTCCTGCAGGCGTGACCGTACGGGTGGGCGTGAGGGAGGAGACGGAGGCGTGACCCCAACAAGGGCACTGGTTATTACGCTTCACGAGTACTGTGCCTCACACACCGACACAGATTCGACACCTATTGTTACGGATCCCCTGTCATAATGTGTATTATGAAGATAGATATTATTCATGACCATGCCTGACATACAAAAGCTATTAGCTTGGGAAGAGACTTAATTCAGGATATCCAGGTTGATGAATTTGCCAAGCACCGTCACAGGTAATTATGATAATAACAACACGTCATAGAATGTAACCAGAAAGTGGCATGGATAAACTTGTATTTCAAAAATGCACCCAAGCATTGTAGGCATTCCATATTCCCAAGCAAGCAAGCACAAAAAAGCCAAATGTATCATTCACATTTGCACATACATTGTTGGCTTTTCATATTTGGAAAAAAACATACACATCTGATGGAATTTGGAAAAAGCTAACTAAAAAGGCTTCGTCGTTTCCATCAAAACGCCAATTACAAAAGTTACGATCAAAACTTGCGAACTCAAAACTCACGTCAAGTACGCTGTAAATTTTAAAGTTATTTTTACATTCAAACTTCACTGCACACGCGATCATGTATGCCAGAACTTTTCACAAACAAAAAAGGGGAAAACTATAAACACGTGCATCCATAGTGACCTTCACGATATTCATATATCAAACAATGCAATTTTGCCTTTCCGAATATAATAGCAATATACACCAAAAATGTAAATAAAAAGTAAATGCAAATAGAACGAAATATCAATAAAAAAATTTCAAGTGCAAATAAACATACTGTACATCGCACCAATTGAACTCGCCCAACCATAGCAAGTTAAAAGATCCCGCGCCTATTTTGTCGAAGAAAGAAAAAAAAATACCACCAGGCAAAAAAACAAACAAAAAAAAAAGAGCATAAGCATTCCCAGGCAAAGGCAAATATAGAGAACAAGAGCGCATTTGTGCAATCAAACACCTACCTGAAGAATGGATCCAAATCTGCGAGGTAGTCTCTGTAGGCAGATACGAGTGCACGAGTTAATACTATGTGGCTAGACCTGCATGCCCAAACCTCGGTCAATAGCCTTCGGTTGACACACAAATTTGTGCCAGGTTACATACAGCCTTTGATAACACTGACGCCAGGAGGCTACCATGTGAAAAAGATGTGCATAGATATATAATGAAGGAAAACAACAACAGCGGTCACAAGTGTGGATACTAATTCCCGAGTGATATTTACAAATAGAATACTAATGATAAAAAAAAACATATACAAATAACAACGAAGATAAGCTTTCTCTGGCGAGGTGCAGTGTTACAAAGGGATGTGTAAGGTGGCAGGATAACACACCAGGTAAACTGATGGTTAGTGAAAATAGGAACAACAGGTATATATATATGAAGGATACTCATCACGAGAAAACAATTATTATATTCCATTTTTAGGAAAAAAAAATGTTTACTGTTTCCACTGTCATGAACATATATTGATTATAGCGTTTTCTATGATGAGTATCCATCTTTTCAAAATAAATGAATAGTTTCTCTAAGAATTGGGTGTGAAGTGAACAAAATTCATCAGTTGTGAATCCACAGGATTAAATTTTGACAAAGAAACCTACAAAACATGCATATATAAGTGTATATACACATCGATATCTTCTGAACAGCCTACGTTTGATACATAAGTGCCAATCAGTTTTCTACAATGTTATGGTGCTTTTCAGTTATCTACAACATATACCAAAAACTTCATGTATAAAGGATGGCATTGCAAAAAAATAAATTAAAAGTACCAAACGAGAGAGAGAGAGAGAGAGAGAGAGAGAGAGAGAGAGAGAGAGAGAGAGAGAGAGAGAGAGAGAGAGAGAGAGAGAGAGAGAGAGAGAGAGAGAGAGAGAGAGAGAGAGAGAGAGAGAGAGAGAGAGAGAGAGAGAGAGAGAGAGGAAAGGGAAAACCAACTCAGATTACGGCAAAGTAGTGCCAGGAGAAACACAAAAAAATCCAAAAAAAGCAAGGAGGACGAGCCAGAAAGGCCCTCCTCCACGAGAGAGAAGTCCAAAACGGCCAGCCCCTTACCTTGGCAGGCTGGAGCTCATGGGGTCGGCATCGAAGTGGTGCATGCGGCGGCGGTCGAGGGTGGCGTAGCGCGAGGAACCCACGTCGGAGTCGTACCCTTCGGGCTCCGACATGTAGCCCCCGTAGCGTGCTGCAAGGCCACCCGAGAGAGAGAGAGCACGTGTTATCAATACACATCAGGTTGGAGGACGGGTGAAAAAAAAACATGAATTAATTTCTCCTACTACCATGAGTAAATCGATAATCAATAACAGGACCAGAAATGTCCTGATAATGACGAAGATCTCCATTAAGTCTTTGCTGTATAAGAAAGAGGGAGCCAAGCAGACTAATAATGATAAGCCCCCCTTAGTATACCAATACAGGTTCAACATGTTACGCACCTGTTCTCCAGTGATCAAAATTACACCTAAAATAAGCAAATTCCTCATGCGGAGAAACGGGATTTTAAGACTAAATGTTTAGAGAGTCTCAATACAGGTTCTCCACATTCCCGTCACCAAGATACTAAGGTTGCCCAACGTGTACTGTTATGAGATTTCTTCTCTATCTCTCTCTCTCTCTCTCTCTCTCTCTCTCTCTCTCTCTCTCTCTCTCTCTCCTCTCTCTCTCCCTCTCCTCTCTCCCTCTCCTCTCTCTCCTCTCTCCTCTCTCTCTCTCTCCCTCTCTCTCTCTCTCCTCTCCCTCTCTCCCTCTCCTCCTCTTCCTCTTCCTCCTTCTCTCTCTCCTCTCCTCTCCTCTCCCTCTTCCCTCTACTCCTCACCCTTACCCCCTTACCCTTACCCTTACCCTTACCCTTACCCTTACCGTCATTCACACCTTCACCGTCCACCGTCACCGTCACACTCTCATTCTCACTCTCTCTCTTTCTTTCTCTCTCTCTCCCGCTCTTTCTCCAACCCCCTTTATTCCTCCCATTTCCTTTCCCTCGCTCCCTCTGCATCATCATCCTTCCTCACCCTTCCCCCCTAATTCCACCGAACCGCCTTCTCCCCTCGGCTAATTGTTATTCCATCCGATGCTAATAACTTAAACGTGGGTCATGATTCCATTAGAAGATCCGGTCAGCTCTGTCCATATTACGAGGGAGAGGAACACAACCATAACGTTAATGATATTAGTACTGGGGAGTGAAAATGCGTCTGTGTATCTGTGTATACCAGCGTACATCTATACGACACACACACGGGCATGCACGCACACACACACACACACACACACACACACACACACACACACACACACACACACACACACACACACGCACGCACGCACGCACGCACGCACGCACACACACACACACACACACACACACACACACACACACACACACACACACACACACACACACACACACACACACACACACACACACCATTATGGTGTCCTGACCTCATCAATACGCGTGAGGCAACCAAATGGTGTAGCAGTCACACAAAAGCAGCATAAAGCTATGGCACAGAAAACGGGAAGAGGAATGGAGACTGCAGGTTCCAAAAACAAAAGAACAACAGGTTCTTGCACTTTAATGGGTGTTGCAAGGAATTGTATTTACACTTTAATACAGGAGCTTTATGATCATCATGCCGAACAGCATTTTCTAATTTTTATGAGCTCTGGCAAAAACCTTTTGTAATATACAGCTTCACTAGACTACTGAGGGATATCAAGTCAATCCCAGAAGCAAGACTATAAATAATGCAGGTTTCTAAACTCTACATATCTAGATCAGAATTCTATTTTCTATATCTAGGTTAGCAGCTGAAAAAAACATATTTATATATATATATACATATATATAAGTGTAGAAGATTCCGCATGTTCCACCTCAAAAATGTAGAAAAAATGTCATGCAGAAGATAACATAGTGGAAGGGAAAAATAATGAATGTTAGTGAAAAAATAAATTTTGGTTATCAATTTTGAGATATACCTTTATTTTGCCTGTATTTAGATCTAGGTGAGTCTGAAAATAATTGAAGATCAAGACCAGATTAGGTACAGTTACTGATAGAGATGAAGAGAAAGAATTCATTATCAATTAAGAACCAAAAGATAAATGAAGCCAATATAAATATCTGAGAGAGACAGATATAAATAAAAATAAAATGTAGAAACAGTCGAAAGTAATGGATCCAAATTCAGCATAGGTCATCTTTGTGAGAAAACAATTCAGTGAAGGAAAAATAAAATTTGTATCCATCATTTTCTCAGAATATAAATGTCCTCTATCACTTTATTATGTTATAGAAAAGATCTGTATATGCTATAAATATAGATGTGTATTATGCCATTCTAGTGACAGTAAGCAGTACAAAATGCTCCCCACAGAAAATCCAGCATTATTTTAATAGCCCCACGGCAAGCAGTAACATAAAAGCCTCTATGGTATTCCTGTACTTATGTGTACCTCGTGGGCATTTGTATTTGATGATGACGTGATCGTCTGAAATCAAAAACGATTCTTAGAAATGTGAAACCCTTGGCCTTCTACAGTATTTTGTCTGACATTTTGATAACTATGAGTTACTCTTACAGCTCTTTGGAATATTGATCTCAAAATCTAACAATAACAAAGAAAATCTACCAGTAACAAAGAACTGTCTTTTATTAACTACACTGACAAGACAAATACTGCAATCTGGTTCAGTTTGTGGCCACTGGGATAATGATTAAGCCTGCATGTGATTGTTAGATAATGAACAACTATGTTAATGCCTGGCAGAGTAGATCCTGCTATCATAGATGCTGACAGCTTGTTCAAAAATTAGAATAGGCTGTTGCCAGTTAGTATGAATTTGGAGTTTGAAGGTCAAGTTGGCTTGGTTGCCTTTCTGACTGCAGTTAATATGAAAGCAGGGAAAATATAACAATATAACAAGACGTATAAAATCATGTTATGATGGGTTGAGATCCTTGAGGCAGTCACCGTCAGTGTGTTTTTAATTTAGTTACACTAGATATTTCTAATGATACAAAGAAAAAATCCTAAATCTTGTAATGGTGACTGATGCTGCAATGGCATTCCTTATCTGTTGTCTGAATTAATCCTTTCTAAACATGAATGAACTCTTTGTTTGCTCATTCATTGTTTGATTTTGTGAAAAACAACAAAAGATGGCTACTGCACTTAAAAAAAAAAAAAAATAGCCATCTCTTGACAAGTTTTTAAAAAACACATAAGACAACATACTATGTACAAAAGTGCATAAAGCAACATCTGCTTTATCATTTTTTGTGCTCATCATTTCAAACGATGAAACTCTCAACACTGACTATATTGGTAAGAGCAAAAGAAAAAATCATACATATCATTTGGCAACCAATCATATTAGGAATCTGTGTATACTGAGGATATTAATTTTCCTCTGACATACATAAAACAGAAAAGCCTGACATTTTAGCCCTCATAATCAAATGAATGAAATCATCATCGTTTTATACCTATATGATTACTAGCATATAATTTCTATATACACACTGCAGGGCTTCGAAGTGCTGATAAAAATAACAAGAAAAATAAAGTTGTGCACACTACAATATGTATATACAGTTCAACTGAATACAAGAACTTTACAGCGATAAATAAAAATGGATTAAGCAACTTACCATCTTTAACTTTATGTAGAGAATCAAACATCCTGCGATACCACTCTCCTTGGTGTTCAGACTTCACACCCTGAGAATTCAACAAAACCTTACATTAGGATACATGGAACAGCTGCCTGCCATCACAAGGGTAGGAGGAGGAAGGTTGGAGGTGCTTGGTGGCCAGGTATCATATCCTGGGTGTTGACATGCTGGGTGACTTAAAAATACAAGATGTGTAGGAGCCTAGGGAAACAGCATACGAATACTCACATATATAGGCAAATAAGGCACATAATTTACACTGATACGAGAATATAAACACACTCATACTTACACTCATATGCATATGCACACACACACACACACACAACACACACACACACACACACACACACACACACACACACACACACACACACACACACACACACACACACACACACACACACACACTCACTCACAACACACACACACACACACACACACACACACACACACACACACACACACACACACACACACACACACACACACACAACACACAACACACTCACTCACTCACTCACTCACTCACTCACTCACTCACTCACACTCACACACACACACACACACACACACACACACACACACACACACACACACACACACACACACACACACACACACACACACACACACACACACACAGAAAAAATAGAGAAAGATAACACATTGTACATATAACATGAAGGACCCTCATAATGACACTGTATTGCATGCACAAAAGACACACATAAGACAAAAGTGCAAAACTGAGTAATACAGTACAATCAACATGAATATCAGATTACAATTCACATGGAAAAAACATGTATAAACTGTTCAATGGAATGATTATAAACAGTTTATATGCATTTTCTTATATCTACAACACTCACTAAATAGAAGCTATAAAGTAACACCAAAAATAATAAACTACAGTGTATTGTTGGTGTAATAAATAGAGTGGGAACACTTTTCTCCCTTGTACTGAGAACAATCACTAACTGCTGTACCAGAGCGAGAATAAGCAAGTATTGTACTTCTCAATTTTGCTTACTCTAGCAGAGATACTGAAGTTAGT